TAACAGCTATTCTCCTGTAATGTAAACCTCAGCTTATGCTATGACATAAAAGTCCACAGAAATGCTACTGGTTTACTTGGCACAGGTAGTCATTTAATTTGCAGTTTATACATACAGAAGTTGTTGCAGCCTTCTGAGGGTAAATCTGTCTCCATGTGAATGTTAATAGCATAACTAAAGACCAGGATAAAACTGAATCCTAAACGTTAACATTTAGTTGTTAATCACTGCCTGATTCAAATATGCTAGACACTTTAAACCTAAATGAAAAAAGCAAGAAACATATTATTGTCTCAAAGTACACAACATGAAGAACATTACTAATACACTGTAAACAATGCTGCGTCTCAAATAGTAAAACCAGCTCTGCTTAACATATGATTACACTCCTCAGAGTACTTGTATAGCCATTTGAACCAAGTGCATTATGTATATGCTTACTCAGGTTAATAAATGTCTTCTGTTTTAGAAATAAATATTGTTTACCATAAACTCCCCCTGGACCAGTGAAATACTACAAACTGCTAGGACAACTTATATGGAAGAGTGACATAACAGTTAATGGATGCCCTATAAGCTCTAAACATTCAGGAAAAGCAAGTCATCAGCATAGAATACCAGGTGTGGGGAAACTGAGTAAGTGTATTTTATTGAACTTCAGAATGCACTAGTTCCAGTGGTTGCTTAGCTACTGGAATTAATGAGTCTGGGGGGGTGGTGTCAAAACAAAACATTTCCTCTTTATTTCAATCAAGATGAATTCACAACTGTTAGGAGGGCAAGGACTGAAAGCAAAGAGACATTTTGTTTCCTTTGTTCGCTTGTATGCAAGGATCACATGACACAGTAGTAACTGCATTTCTTTTAAAGTCCTACTTCCCTTTGAGAAATAATTCTCTCAGGTGTGCCTCTGCAATTCAGTAAGCTCCTGTGAACTCTTGTCCAGTCCCTACAAGCCTGTCACACATACCTCAGTTAACCATGTCGGGGTTATTCTCCGAGAACCAAGATTTTCCCTATTTTTTTTTCCTCCTCCCTCTCTCTAAATATATTTATTTCCCAACAGTAAAAAGACTTTCCTGGAGTCTCATGCTTTTTCCAGAGAATAGGTGGCAGTTTGGCTACCTTTTTTAACCACCCAGTATATTTTGACCTTTAGGTAAGCAGCAACTTCAGTAACAACAAAATTCTTATAAAGTATCAATCACACAGCTTTTTCTTCATTGTTTTTTAGAAGCAATGCAACTTTTTGGAAGGTTTCAATGACTTCAGCTTTGACCTACCCTAGCACATAATTAATTAGTGTATTTTCTTTTGGGCATTTTCACAATTCAAATCCTATCTAAATGAAGCATCTAAACACCAAATCCTTAGACAGAGCTTATATGGTCTAATTTGGTTAGGGATTTTTTTATTACTATTAGTTTTATTTCAAATGTTATCATGCTAAGAAATGGTTACTAATTTCATTATAATTTAATAAAAAAGGCATCTACTAAAAGAATTTGAATGTTGAATTCATATCAGGGTGACAAATGGCCCCTTTGCCTCCACCCTCCCCTCTAAAAAGACAAGACCCGTCCCATTTTCAGCTGTTATTATCTTATTCTTCATACAATACATGAAGTAAGCTGAGGCTTTTCTGGGCCATGACAAGACCCTAACATGAGGTCTAGTTGCTTCTACTTGCAAACATTCTCCTTGCATTTCCAAATTTGTTACAATGCCACTCCAGCCTAATTTCACCTTAGTGGGAAAAAACCTGGGCTGCACGCCCTCAGTAAATTTCCTGTTACAGTTCTTATTCTCCCCTCCCCCTAGGAGGAAAACTTTTACTCAAGGTCACGTTAATCTTCACTGTAAAGAAGAAACACAATGACTAACAGAAACCTATCTTGGAACATGTAATGCGCCTTCAGTGAACTCACCTTTTTAACAAATGAAAACAATTGTTAACACAAAGGTTTCCTTAATTCTTTTAATTCCATCATCTCATTCAAGCAATGGTGGACATCAGCTTTCTTGCAATTAAAGGATGGTAGAATTCCCTTCACTCAGCAGTTCTCCTTGTAATGAAGCCAGCCTGCCTTCCTCTGCACCTTCTCAGTTCAAGCTAGCCCTTTCCTTTCCTTATTGACCTGACCACCCATGCCATTCCGGCTGCAGGCTTTGTGGATGAAATGCTCGTACTTCTCGGTCGAGGGGGTTGCATCTTTGTACAACTTGCAGCTTGAAAAGGTTCCCAAATCACATCTCACCAGCATCAACTTCCCTAAACCACTCTGTCTCCCTCCTCTTCCTGCATTGCTTCTCCTTCCTTCCACTGGCTCTCAAATCTCCACAAAACATCCATCTCAGATCTATTTTATGGATGCTTATCTGTGCATATCAGAAACAATGTTGTACTGAATTAGGCATATGCTCTAGATTCAAAGTAATGAGTGATAAATACAGCAAAAACAAATGCCAAGGGCAGCCCTTTTAATGATACTGAACTTTTCCAGTGCATAGATTAGTAGTATCCACAGCTGCAAACTACCTGATTTTCTAAACACATGCACTTTAACTCGTAAATACTTCTATGCCAATTTCTATGGGCTTCATTAACTTGACACTGAATTCTCTGCAGCCTTTCCTTCCCTGATGGATTGAAGGGAAATCATTCTACATCCCACTGCTAGATAAGATTCCTTGCTCACCAATGTATTGGTGCTGCTTTAGCTTTTCAGCTAGGATGCAGCAGCTTTATACAACAAGCTCGATGCTTTCCTTGCAGCTCTCTAATAGGCATGAAAGACCGAAGACAAAATACTTTGCCCTAGGGCAGTGCAGTAATGCTCCTGTCAGCCAAAATAGTCCCTAGAGCTGGGCAAAGTCCCTCAGGAGCTTGTCTAATTCATACTTAGGCCATCCAGAGCAACCCAGAAACCAGGAGAGACAGGAGATGCAAGCACCTGCGTATCCAGCTTCTTGTTTGGCTGTACTCATTGCAAAACGCACAAAATCAAGTCCTATAATGTTTGTATTCACACAAATACAAATATACACTGCTGCGAAGAGAAACAGATTTCTTTTTCAGTTCTTCCAATTACTAAAAAAAAGAACAGAGGAAAAGCTGTCTTTATGGTATCTACAGAATTTTTACATTATCACGATTGATGGCTTTCCACCTAATCATTATTTTGTGCTCACTTGCAAGACTGAGGGTGGACACAAAAATTTAACCTCAGGATCTCTGCGAGATAGGAGGGGAGAAGTAGTATGCACAGTGCTTTGAAAGCACAAAATACAGCTTTACTGCCAGTTAACAGTGGTAAGGCACCACTACATGTAATGCTAAAAGAGGTGCACAAAGGCATTAAAAAGTCCTTTGAATCTGATGCTAACCCATAAGTCTTCCCGTTCGCTGTCACTTTTGGTTTATACGATGAAACTGAATTTCATCACCAAAGTCAATAAGTAGCTACCAGGGGGAAAAAAAAAAAAAAAAGAAAAAGAAAAAAGCAACCTCAGAATGAATCAAAGTTCAGGGAAGTTAAGGTATAGATTCATTGTTCACTCACAAAGCTTTTAATCATACATTTAAAAAGCATATATCTGTTAATTTCATTCAATATTTTGTGAGATCTATAGAATTTAGAAGTATTTAAACTCACTCCCTTTCTTAAAAGTAACAAGTGGTATTTCAACCCTGTGGTCACAACAAAAGATAGAATTTACTTCCTTTTTGTCTAACCAATACTTTTAAAAAAATCTGTTCCACCCATCTAGACCAAATGGTACGTCACGGCAGCACCCAGCTATTGCAACATGGG